TACTGTCCGTCGCTAAACTTGGCTCACAATCAAACTTCAGCAGTTTCTTAGCAAGAAATTGAGAAGTCGGTCAATCCACTTTTAAGCTTTATTGAATTAAATTAGTGCGAGAAATTGAATGTTATTTGACTAAAAACAGCTTTTCTCAAGGTTTAATAAACTTAAATACGAAATCAACGTATGAGTTAAAAGTAAAACGTACAAACTTTAATGACATTTATAAATAAAAATACGAAATTAGTCACGAAATACAGAGTTTGTGGAAACTGATGGCGAAGATGATGTAGTGTAATTATTGCTGGCACAGTCGAAAGCTTAACGCGATCATTTCAAAAGCATTCACGTAACATTCCTAGTACGAACTCCAACGTGGGACTACAAAAGGTGTTCAAGTTCTGTTTCGTATTTGGCAGTTCCTGTGTTCAAATCCTGACACTGTCGGCCGCTCAGAATGCACAGCGTCGAATGATTAATAAATAATCAGAAGCGGTCTTGATATAATTTAATATACTATCTTAGCGTTCACTTAAAGGGATAAGTCTCGCGAGAAAGTCGAATTTTCTCACGAAGCTACATTTTGTACGTAAGAGCTTTCATTCTACTTCCAAGAAATGCAATTCCTTCATTAATCATTTTTAAAGCTGTTGGGAAAATATCTGGTCGCTTCCACCTGCTGAGATTTGCCAGTACGTGCGCCATCAGTGCCAAGCGGGTAAATAGTCAAACACAATTAATACACTCGTTTTAATATCAAAGGTTTAGTGCGTCTAGAACACAGACTATACAAGGTGTGAGCAGAGCAACAAATACAGAAATGAGAGACCGGGTAAACTCGGGCGTGTCACTTGATTCCACGAACGAACGAACCAAAGAAACGTTCCAAAATTCGTAACGGGAGAATAATAAAAACAACAACAATTATATTGCTGAGAGTAACACATGAAGTTACAATATTCATTTAGTTTTTACCTTAAGTAATTTCAGGCTAATTCCCATTTATTTAATATTATATATTATTATAATATATTATTTTAATTAATATCGTAATTTAAGTTTTCCTGCCGAAAATATAACTATCATAAAATCATATAACGACCTGCAATTACCTAAAGACGGAACAAAACAAAATTTAGCACACAAATTTGTTAAACACACCCAGGCAATAGACGATGTCTTAAACATCCACATTTTGTGGATTAAATATTCCTCAGATCTCGGAAATTCTTTTTCCAACAAAGTGTGTTTGTGCTTCATATTATTCTTAGAATAAGCAGTAATTATGTTCTCAAACGGCGTTAACAAGTTGATCTTTGCAATGGTGAGGGAATGTGTTTTCTTTGAAGTACGGACTAGATGTTTAAAACGCTATTTAGAAGAACTTCGATCTTCAAGAGGTCAATGATTTTGGTTGTATGCGCTCACTTGTCAGCTTTATCTTCAGTCCCGTTTAGAAATAACGAAAATTCTACCCTGGCCATAATTGACCTAAGACACGAATCGCAGAAAAAAGACAAACCTCTGTGACTCGTATCTCACGAGACTGTACCTTGAGACCAAGAAGACGAACCCATGGGCAGGCAATGAAGAGAAGTTTGTTACGTGACTCGAAACTATATCATAAACTCTAGAGTGTTCGTATCTTATAACAATCGCTCAGAAGGCATTCCTATTATTACGTCATCAGAGATAAGGTGGGATACCCTGCACTTACATGTTAATTAGCCACAAATGTGCACGGCTACCAACAATAAATCTCATGGCTACATTCCTGCAATGAGATAGACCACGCACAGACGAAATACGAAGTTAGCACAACACTTGGCCGCAATCCTGAGCATGAAACGGACAGAATCGAACAAAGTAATGTCTGCAATATTTTCCTTAATCTGTTTTAGGACATGGGGGGTATGTTCTTCACAAAATATTATTAAAGTGGAGCAAATCAAAGAGACTGAGATGAAAGAGGGGATAAGGGAATTGTGGAAAGAAGCGGTCGTTGCCTATTTCAGGCATTAAAGTGGAATTTAAGTGGACAGAATGAGGAAAACCATGGAAATTTCAGTCAGGGTAGCCGGTCTCCGGGCCGAGAAACCTAAGTAAATAACAATTGTAGATGAAAAAATGCCGTTAAATAATCTTATTATATTTATTTAGTGTTCTGTCTGACGACAGGTCCATATGAACAGGATCCTTCCATCCTTTTCTCGGACTGGGACCTGTTCATATACGTTCTTGGCAGATGATCCAGAAGTGGTTTGCCATTGCCTTCTTCTGTGTGTGAATGGAGTAATTGTTGGGATGCCACGGAGAAACCGGGGAAGCCCCCGGAGGAAAACTCCGTGTTGCCTAGACCACGGCCTTGCCCAACACAAGTTATAAATTCTGGCACCGCCGGGAATCGAACCCGGGACCCCAGGATTACAAGGCCAGCGTTCTAACCGCTAGACCACCGTGGCTAAAATAATCTACATAAATAAATCGATTTTGTGTGTGTATTAAATAATACAGTGTTAAAGTCAGT